TGTGTGTGTGTGTGTGTGTGTTTGTGAAAGGGGGGGGGGAGGAGGGGACGCTCGCACGATCGTTTGTGCGGGAGGATTTAACAGATAGAATCTCACAAGAATCTAGTCTTATTATACGGTCAATGTCAGTATACTCTGGTTAATCACATAGATATAAAAAAAAAAAAACTACTTTAGAAAAAGTCTTTGGATCTCAGTAATTTTTTTATTTATATGTTGTACCGAACTCACTCTTTATGTGGATTCTCTGAGCTTTTGTTTTGATTGCAATATCAAATCAATCTGTTCCGGAAATTTAGGATTCAATAATTTCATCTGAGAGATCCATCGTTGTTGAAATTAAGCATCTATAAGAATGAAAAAATAATGACCTATTTCAACATACATAACCTTAGTACATTTCATTTCAATTTCAAATTAACCACTTGAACAATGACTCAACCGGTTTTTTATTCAATAACTATAAAAGATAGGATAAATTGTCGGGTTTCTATCCAGTTGATGGTTTTTTAGATCTTGTATCCCTGACATATGATTAGCAGTTCCGTACTTTTGTTTTCTGTTATTGATCTTCTTCATATTCCATGACAGTGCTTCGTCTGTGTTTGGCGATCTCGAAAGAGACAAAGCCACCTGTTAAAGGGGTTCTGTGGGTTGGGGATTGTGGAGGACGGGGTGGTATTGGTGTTCGGGAAGAGGGGCGGGGCAGTTTGGGGGGGGGGGGGGGGGGAAGTTTTTTTTTTTTTTTTTTTTGGTTCCCTGGGGAGTGCATTGACGTTCGTCGGCAGGGACGTCGAAGGGGCTGTTGGCGGCTTGGGGAGGGTGGCAATGACAACAGAAGAAAAGTGGGTGCGCATACGCGGTCTGGAATGCTGCGGTCACACGTGTCACTATCGGCGATGCCGCCAACAGAAGAAGCGACGTTGAGGTTCGTCCATCTGCTTCGTCTCATTGAGGCATCTGCGTCCCGTCCCACATAAAGGTCGTCCGCTTGTGGCATCTCTAGCATAAAAGCCCGCCTGACCTGCTGTACAACGAGCACAACCACGAGGGACGCCCTCCAACTTTTCGCCTCCTCGCTGCGGACCTCTATCGGCTGCTCACTGCGGACATCTCTCGCCTCCTCGCCGGGGACTTCTTTAGTGTCGTCTAGGATCACTGCCGTAGCTCTTCTCGCCTTCTCGTCATGTGGAGATTCGACGCCGTCACTCTCCTCGCGTCAGTGCCACGGTGCTCTGTGGACATGTGGATGTCCGACGAGTGAGGACTTTGGGCTAATCTCCGACGGAGCACTCTCTCCTTATCACCGCGGATCTGTCTCGCCGCGTGGAGGTTCGACACCTACTCTCTTCTCTTCTTCTCGCCGTGGAGCAGTCTCGCCGGGGTCGTTCTCCTCCTCTCGTACGAATGGACACCGTGCTCATCTGTGCACCGAGGACACTTCTTTTTCGTCGTCACAAACGCAGTCGTTGCCACGCACGATCCGTACGTGAGATGCTATTCTCGCCATATCAGCGGAACTCCCATCAACGGTCGACCCTTTATTCCTGCTCATCCGATCCGACGCCAAACTCGCTTGGAATGGGAAGCACGAAGCATGCCTACGCGAGCCGGCGCCTGTGGTAAGAAGCGGGATATCGTCCCTCTGGACACTCAAGGGCGGGAAAGGGGTCGGGGGCATGTCCCCAAGACGAAGAGGCTTCGTTCGAACGATGCTTCAGGAAGCGTGCCTGCTCGTCGACCGCAACATTGGGCGACAACGGGCAAAGGTGACGACAGTGACGTCTTCACGATAGAGGAAGAAGTGCCAGAGGAGACCGTGTCCGCAGTTCGGGAGAGTGGTCGCCAGCGTTCTTCGGATCACAGCACTGCGAGGAGATTGTTGACGCCTCCACCGGAGGCGTAGCACATGAGTGCCCGCAAAACGCGGTCGGAGAAGGAGGATGTCGTCGACATCGGCGGTGATGATGACGAGCCGTTGGAACGACATCGACAACGCAATGTCACATAAGCCACAACAGCGAGGACAGTTAGGGCACGTGGCGCGACTGACGAAAGGCCACCTCAGGGTGGACTGCTTGCCATGCCGTCTCAACCGCGTCTGTGAGACACGGCTGATGAGGGAGGCTCCATTGAACGCGGCGGGGGGGGGTGGGGCGTCCTGGCAGACGTGCACGCAGTTGGGGACGAGGCGGTCGCTGCTGCGGGTGCTGGAACTTCAGGCAAAGTGGCACCCGTATCGAGAGTCAAGGAGGAGCTTCTAGCTGTCGGGCGGGAGGTGGCGCGTGGGAAGAAGAGAGGTGATCGGTAGGATGACGACCCCTTTTTAAGCCGGGTATGAAGGGGAGGCATGGCGAAAGATCTGATCGACCAAGCTCGTTTGTGGGTTGATGACAAAGCTTTCTGGACCACGGGCGAGGGGTGAAGACTGTATAACATTGTCCACGAAATGTGATAGTATTTTGTCGCCATCGCCAGCGGTCTTCAAGCGCATGTCGTCCCTCGGACCGTCGTCATGCCAAAATCCTACACGAAGCTAAACAGGATTTGCCGATCCCGCATAGCTGCAGCAAGCGATCTGTCGTGCGGCGGCAGTGAAGAATATTGCTCGACACGTCTTGCACGGCTGGGTCTTCAAGTCCGGGAACCTCCCCAGAGGTTAAAATTTGGCTTTCTAGTACGTGCAAGAGCTCGTGGCGACAAGCATTGCACGTGCTATGTGTACGACGAGGAGTCGAGTAACAACGTCAGTGCGGCCGTTTGCGCGCACACAATAGACATGTCCATGGACTTGCCACTGTGGTTCGCTGGTGTGAACGTCGAGGACAGGCCTGAGGACGACGACATGACGGCGTACCAGGAGTCGACCATCATATGCATCGCACATGCATTCCGCGCCGCGGTTCAAATGGGTGCGAACGTCGACGGCGGCTTCATCTCACACGATTGTCTCTCGCGGGTTGCTGACTGCTTCAGGCTTTTGTTGGTGGCCAGCATGTGGTTGATGCGCATGGCGGGAGACAATCTGCACAGCCACTACGAAGCTTTTTACTTTGCGAAGCTGGTGTCGAAGCCCATGCTCGTCGCGTTCATGCATCGCTCCTTCGAACATCAACCATCAGTCGTCCGCGCCACAAACGTCGTTATGGAGAGGCTTGGGAAGGCAAACACTACCTTGGGAGAGTACCCGAAGTACATCCCCGAATGGGTATCCTGCGACATTGTCTTCGGGCACGACGCGAGCATAACAGGGCCAGAAGACGTGAAGAGGCTGGATTGGTTGGGTTCCCCCCCCCTTGAGGAGGATGACGACGACGCTGGAAAAGACGATGCGTAGGGGGGGCGGGGCAGGTGAGACTTACGACGAGGGAGAGGGAAGTGGAAGGGTGGGGCGGCGCGGGCGCTCCAAGATTTTTGGCTGCACGTATAGATGTTGGTGGTCGTGACGGGCTTGACGTTCGTTGGGCGCGTGTACAGTGTGTTGCTCCTGTGAGTACACGAGCGACGTTTAGGTCGTTCACTTTGGCAGGGATGCTTTTTTCACTTCGATCATCGTTGGTTGTGCACCTGTTTAGTGCCCCGTTACTGCGAGTAGACGAGTGACGTTTTAGGGCGTTCACTTCAGCAGGCTCGACGGGGGTTTTCGATTTCAATCGTCGTGTTGTGTGTTGTTGTCCTCGCAGCTTGCTGCGAACGAACATAATTGCGCTTGGAGCGCATCATTTTCTAATCATACGTCTGCTGTTTTCATAACTTCGTTGGCATGAGTGAATGATGATTGCGACGTTTGCATGCTCACATTTCATCTTCGTCTTTTTCTGATGTCACTGTCGTTCGTTTGGTTGTTTTTTTGCAGTTTTTCCAAATGACACCAACAACCGTATTTGATTTTCTTTTTAACATTCGTAGTAAGACAATGCACACAACCCTTAAGAGCAAACGACGTCAACGAGCACTTGTTGTGAAGATGGAATGACACATTGTATATTCTTCCTGATTCATCATCGCATTGAAATATCAACACACAAAAGAACAACACATACTAACAATAGGCAAAAGAAGAACAGGTCACCCCTCGCTACCTGTACCCTCAATCGACGATTTTAACATCTCAAGGAAATCACAAAATTGAGCACCAATTGTTAAAAAATACATCACAATCTATCGTCGGGGCGATAAGTTTTAGCCGCTCCCCCACAATCAACCCTGCACTCTCTTCAACACGACCGCCACGTGTAAAAAAAAAAAGGCGCACATGACACCCGCAGTGTGCCGTATCCCAACTACACAACGGAAACACCCATTGCTGGACTCCTTGAACAACGGGCACGCACATCCACGCACTGCGACGCTGGCGAACTACAACCTCGAACGCAAACTACCAACCCCAAGGCGGGACGAAACAACGAATTTGCCCTCCCACCAATGTTGCAATGACTACATCGTGTTTCGTTCGTTCCGCTAAAGCATCCCGCATGACCAACGCTTCGTTTGTCGAAGTAATCATCGACAAAGGCTGAAGGGGCTCTTTGATCCCCAGGTCCACACGTCGTCGCACATCATTAGCATCGACCTCCCACAGCAGATTCTCATTGAACGAAATTCGAGCGTCAATCAGTATGTTGTGCAATATACAAACGGCGGTGAACAACTGCGGGAGCGTGTCCAAGTTTGTTTTGGGCGTCCACAAAAACAACCGCCACATGCCCTTCAGCCTGCCGAACGCCTTCTCCACTGCTCCCCTCGCCACCTTCTGCTTGTTGTCAAAGCGCTCCTTGTCGACGTGCTGATTGACGCCTCCATACGGGATGACCATCCATTCCGAAGGGGGGTAGCCATTGTCCACCAAGATGTAGCCGTTCGTCCGCACACCGACCGGTAGTGTCACATGGGGACCAGGGAACAACGACCCCGACTCCGCGCACTGCCACAGGTTGGACAACCGGAGCACCCTGATGTCGTGGCAGCTACCCGGGTATCCCATGTGCACATCGAGCACACGCAAGTCCAGGTCGACGACAACTTGCGCGACGATGGAGAAACGATGCTTCCTGTCATAGTAGTTTTCGTTCGGTGCGTGCGCCGGCTTGTCCACGTAGATGTGAGTATATTCAATGCAACCGTGGCAATTGGGGAACCTTTTATCAGCGAACGCCCACAAAACGATGAGTTTACGAGCTCCAGCCGTCCAGGCAATCTTCTCTCTGTACACCTGGAGCAGCGCGGCAGTAACATCACGGACGACAACCAGGCCAGAAGCTCTGCCAATCCCGAAGTTGCACGTGCTGTTCTCGTACGTTTCCCCCAACACAACCCTGTTCAGTGTGTATGCCACAATCTGGTCTGGCTGCAAAGGCTCTCTGTAGGACTATACCTGCCGCTGAAGATAAGGCGCACACGCCTCCACGATTTCCCGGAACACTCGCGGCAACATGCGTAGCTTCTCCCGTAATTAGTCATCTGTCGCATTGTCGCATTGCCTGAGGTCTTCCCAAGTGCCTCCTGTCCTGCGCTTCATCCACCACCTCGGCGTCGCTCGAGGAATCACTCCGCAACCCAACGCGTAGCACATCTGAACAACAGCCTCTGAGATCGCCACGTATTCGGGGCCATCGTCTGGAGATTGCGTCAATGTCCTTCGTCTACGCGCGCGCAACTGCTCCTTCAGTCGTCCCAGCGCCCTCTCCAGCTGACATCGAAGAACAACGGTAGACACGGCTGCCACCACGGCCTGCAGCTCAAGAGGCGTCAACACCGCACGTCCACCCTCTCCGCCRCCCTCCATAGCCGCGACCTGGACACGGACCCGTCGCTCTGCTGCCATGTGTGTCGTCCTTCCACACCCAACGAAGAAGCCGAAGACGTTCGTCAAAAGCTGCCCCCTTTTTTTCTGGATGCAGTGGCGCAGACGGAAATGTGTTTCAAGGCGCAGTCGATGTGTGCGAAGCTCAACGGCGTTGGACGCACCCAACGATGCCTGCGCACTCGCAACAGCTGGGGGACGAAAGTGACACCGCCGCTGAGCCTGTTTCAGCAGTACGTTGTCTTCACGCCGCCAGCCGCACGTCGTCGTCGTCGTCGCAGCCGTCATTTGAAATTCTAATTTCAAATGTCGACGCCCCTCAGGTTAATTTTTTTCCCGTCGCCTGCCTCATGCCGTTTTCCGCCACACGTCGCTGGACCACGCCGCCTCCACACGGACAAAAGACGGTGGACCAAGGACCACCGACCCCGCGGCCACTAACTTCCGTATGAAAACGGCCGCGGGCACGCCACAAGGAAACATCCCCTGGGGAGGTCCCCAAGGATGAGTGGAACGACGCCGCAAATTTCCCTTAAACCACCAGTACTTCCTGAAGTCGTGCCCGTTAACGCTATGCGATTTTAGGAAACGCACGGGCCACTACAGGAGTGCCCAAATTCATGCAACTAGAAACGTTTCTACTCTATTTTTTTCCGCGGCCGATAGCTGGGCCAAGTACTGGCGGTTTAAGAGCCACAAGGTTCCTTGTGGCTCAAGGAACTCGTAAAGAGTGTCTAACGAGGCCCATACTCATGCAAGGGGCGTTTTAAGAAAAGTCGCATAATTTCATGTGGTTTCGCAGTCATACCAGGCCTGCCCACTCATCAAATTCGCAATAGGCGGGGCAAATGTAAGTGTGGTGTGGGGGGCCAGTAATTTGCAAGCACCTGTGGAGGTGCTCGCAATTCGTTTTGCATTGTGAGTTCCCAGAAGAGGATTGCGAGCATTGAATTCATAGATGACTTTCGCAGTGTAGCCGCACCAGTGGGCAAGTTTGCAACTAGCCTAGTGTTGTGGCATTGTCTTTTTCTATCTGTGAGCCCTCTGTGACACCACAACGCAACAAAATGACAATGACAAACCGGGCGGTAACAAAGGCGACAAATTTCACTATTTTGCTACCCATGTGTCAGCAGACCCTGAGCATGCAGATTTTGTGAAAGGCCTCTCACCAGTGGTGGCTGGGACCCCAACCACCGCACGGCTGGCCACTCGTGCACTCAATGGTGCATTTTCCTAACAAAGGGCAGCACACATCCCGGTCCATCACGCCCATTTTTCCCAAACTGCGAAGTCAAAAATGTGGAAAGGTCTCTTGGCCACCTATTTTTCTTTATTTCAAAACAGATTGACCATAAATTCCCATAATGGCCAACTGGCTTAGGCGGGCGCGCTCACACTGCGGTACCCAATCCGCATAATCCGCGAAATCCCCAAAAAAAGTGTCCAAGGATAGTCACACCAGGATCTCATTTCCCCAAACTACTTATTCGTGACCCCATTTGTCAGCGGGGGTTGGGAATTTGAGGTAAAGGTTACCGCAAATTCCCGTTCTTGTTTGGAATCAACCTGCGGACATGGAAATGGAAAGAAATTGTTTCACCCTGCCGCCTACTCCCCAGCTGGGTAATGGTCCCAGTAACAATTTTCTTCCTTTCCCCGGGTTGTTTGTTGAGGATTCCCGGCCTCTTCCTTTGGTTTGCGTAATCAAATGAGCTGAGTCTTCTGTAAAAAAATAAAAATAAAAATAAAAAAGGAGAGAAATTGGAAGAAGAAGATATTGCCAGGAAATGGGATGTCGCAGTGTGACTGGAGCAGTCGAAGAGGATCCAGGGCGGCCGCAACCTTGTCTGCCGCCAAATGGGGAAGCAGTGTGACCGGTCCTGCCACTATTTTCCCAAATCGGGCATCCCATTTTTTAAAGAAATTACGATTTTGGGTACCCAGTGTGAGCGTGCCTTTAGAAGATCGGTTGATAAGGCTTATGTTGCGTTCGGGAGGTGATTGGTTCCCTTCGCGAGCTTGGTGTCTTTCCATTGAAAGATGGTCCGCTTCCCTCAACACAATGCAAACCCATCACTTGCACAGGAGCACAAAGTTTGTACTGTTTTGGGGGCAGGGTGGTAGCCAAGAATGTTGGCTTTTAGACACAGCTACAAGCCTACAATATGCTAGGTGGGGGAGAAAGGGGAGGTACAGGTACTGGCCCTAGTGCTCCGACCTGCGCCAGCGCCCGCAGTTCCCTTGCCAGCGCCGCATGCCCAGGGAGTCAGGGACTCCACCCTTTTTCTGTAATCAACTGGTGTGTGTTTTGTGTTAAAAAAGAAAAAGAAGGCAAAAGTGAGTGGTATGAGTTTTGTGTGAAAAAAACAAAAACAAAAGAAGGCAAGAGTGAAAAAAACAAAAACAAAAGAAGGCAAGAGCGACCATCGACACTTCTTACCCCGCTTGAGCGTGTGAACAAACAAATACAAAAAACGGTCATGCCCCGGGGGAGGTTCAAGTTCGTCAAATACTTTCCGTCATGTGCTAACTGACGAACAGGCCTAGGGGCAGTTGGTGCACCCATGGACTGTTGAAATGGTGAGTGTTCGAATCCAACGGAAATCAGAGGAGAAAAGTAACTCAAGATGTACTTGGGGCCGGCGACATCTCAAGCCGTCGGCCTTCTATATGAAAACTGAAGTAATAATATGCTATAATATGCTATAAGAAATAATATGCGAAGTTCATGCTATAATATGCTATAAGAAATAATATGCTAAGTTCATGCTATAATATGCTATAAGAAATAATATGCTAACTTCATGCTATAATAAGCTATAAGAAATGATATGCTAAGTTCTATAATATGCCAAGTTCTCTTGGTGTGTATAAAGGCTTGAATCCCGTCGGCATAGAACGACCGACAGCCTCTGACGATCCAGTGTCTGTTGGCACGTTTGGCTTGAGCGTGTGGGTATCGGTTCGTGCGTTCCAAGGGAGCGGGACACCTGTTCCGGCCGTCTCTCGGACGCGGGAGGGAGGACACATCTCAGGAGAGGAGTTTTTTTTCCTGCAGCCATAGTCGCTTTTTTTCTTCCTTCTGTTGAAGCCTTAAGGTAACCAGTCTCGGCGGGCGACGAAGCTATCTAACTCGGATGGCAAGGATGCAGAGCGATGCTCGATGTGGGAGTCCCTTGCCGCCGCTGGCGGCATTGGCAGGCGTGCTGTTGCTCATCCTCCTCCAGCTTGCCGCCCATGGCTATGCAGTTTCTCCTCCTCCTGGCTCCGTGAAGATCGTCGGCTCCACCTATAACGGCGATGGATGCCCGAACGGCTCCACTGTTATCGTCGTGTCAGAGGATGCTCAAGCACTCACAGTCATGTTCAGCAACTTCACTGCTTCCACGGACCCCCCCATCAGTAATCAGCGAAAGCAGTGCACTGTTGGTGTCAAGCTGAGTTATCCTCAGGGCTTCACTTTCAGTCTCGGCGATATCATCTTGCGCGGTTATGCGAAGCTGGATGCAGGCGTTAAGGGCGTCGCGAGGACGACTTATTACATCGCTGGTCTAACCGGGACTGGTAAAGCCACTGGCCCGCTTGAAGGGCCGATGGACGACAACTTCGAGGTTCCGAGTAACTTCGTGTCCCCTGCAATCAGCCAATGCAACACGACCCGGGACCTGAACATCAACTCTGAAGTGAGAGTAGTTCCGGGGCGATTCGTCCCGAAGAGGAGCGGACTCATCACCGTGGACTCCACGGATCTGAAACTTACGCAAATATTCTCTTTCTCCTGGCAAGCGTGTTAACCCGAGTTCGGGTTAACGAAGCGTATTAACCCTAGTTCGGGTTAAGGGCGGGTCACGGCTTTGACCTGGCAAGCGTGTTACCCGAGTTTCGAGTTAGAGGCGGGTCAGGGGTCGTGGCCCTCATGGGAGGCAGCTTCGGGAGGAGGGAAGGTGGGGGGAGGAGGGAAGTTGGGGTGAGGGGGAAGACGATTGGATGACCCGGGGAGACATGCGTTAGCTATCGTTCGGAGTAGAGAGTACCCCTGTTGGAAATGGACACCCAGGGCGGGAGAGGTAGATATTTAATATGAACTGTCATGGAAAGCCGCACTGCTAGTAGCAGGTCCTGATAGGCGGCGAGGAGGACACGTGTCCATAATGGGCAGGTAGTCAGCGTAGTTGCAGCCTGAGGGAACAGCTTTGTCTTGCACTCGTCCCCTGCTAACTCCCTACTCGACGCCTTGGGGGATGGAGACGAAGAGACTTACGAACTGTCATGGAAAGGCACACTGCTGGTAGCAGGGCCTGATATATATATAGACGGCTAGGAGGAGGCCACGTGTCATCCATCGGGAGGTAGTTAGCTTAGCTGTTGCCTTCCGGAACCGCATTATGTTCAGCTCGTGCAGTGCTAACTACCCCGCTCTTAACACATCGACTGGTGAAGGACCGGTTATTGTTGTTAATTACCCGTCGAGCCCATACCGCAGCAGCAGCAGCAGCAGCAGCAGTCCGAGAGCTAACAGCATGCGGGCAAGCTATTAAGCTGTCAGATTCAATGCCAGTGTTCGTCAGGACTGCAATTCGCAGTGTTGGCACTCAAGAAGTGGTAATGCCTGACGTTATAACTTTCTGTGACTGATATCCGGAGATCAGTCACTGTGCTAATTCTCGGCTGACTAAGTGCTGTCGCTGCGCAGTCTCTGCGGTGCATACGCGCGGTCATTGCGCTCACCCTCTGACTGAGTGTGTGCACTGCACTCGCCTGCTCGACCATTTGAACGGGCTTTTTCACGTCGTTTTTGTTCTCTCGCTTTCTTAACGAGCCTACACTCTCTCAACTTCGGTTTTTAAGAGGAGACTGAGAAATTGCGTGTCTGTACTCCCCTGGGCAATCATATGAGCTGGCTTTCACTTCGTTTTTCTGTCTGTGTTCCTTGACACGAGCCGACACACTCTCTCACTTTCATTTGTGCTTTCAAGGAGGCTGAACAATGGTGTGTCTTTCACTGATACGCCTGTGATGGGGATGGCAACTATCCATGATTCGACTATGCTCAAATCATGCCTGGCTGGCGGCGAGAGGGAGTCTTTTTGGGGTTGTTTTTTTTGTTCGATTTTTTTCTCTTTGCTTCTTAATAGGTGTTTGGCAGATTACAACCCTGCCCTCGCCCTCGAATAGAACGTGCGGTCATTATCCCTGTACCTAGACTCAAAGCTTTCCCCGAATTGACCGTGCGTTCTATGATAGGGAAGACTGTGAGCAGGGGATGCCTCCGACTTGCTCAAACGTGATGCATGCCTTTCCTTCATCTCTTTTATTCTTAACAACAACAGATTATCCTTCTTCAAAGAAAAAAATAAAAATAAAAAAAATCCCATTAATCCGATGTATTTGTTTTGGATTTCTTGAGAAGTGAAGAATAATTTCTTGTCAAGGATAACTTTGAGGAGATGATGACAGAAAAGAAAGAAAGAAACAATAACAAAAAAAAAAAAGGGAGTATTTCGCGGAAGTAAGGGGGAATATGATACCCTGAGCAGCCTCCTTTCTCACTATTTTCTCTCTTCTTTATCACAGTTGTGATCTGGTCCCTCTTTCTTCTAGAAGTTGTGCGTAAACCCGAGTTAGGGGGGAAGGGGGGGGGGGGATGGGGTCCAGAAACAAGCATCAAAAGGACGATCCGGGACCTGCCGACCTGCAAATAAGCCCTTTACCCAATGGCCACACAGAGTGGGGCATTGCTCCGTTCACGAACGTCCTGCCCAGCGTCCCAAATGGCCAGGGCATATTACCAACTTTACCCACTCCACAATGGGGCATTCTCAAAAGTCGCACATGTCACGAACCGTGTAACGTAGCCGGCTACGCCGGACCCACGTACCTTTCAGATCTGGAAGTTCTGCTGGATAGGTGTCCTTGCATCCGGGAATGTCCGGAAATGATGAAGCAAAAGAAAAAGAAAACAGTGTGTGCGTTTTTTGTTTTTTTTTTTGCGTATGTGTGTGTGTGTGTGTGTGCCCGCGCGCTCACGTGCAAAAGAGAGAGAGAAAGAGAGAGAGAGAGAGAGAGGGAGAGAGAGAGAGAGAGCGAGCGAGAGAGAGAGAGAGAGAGAGAGAGAGAGAGAGGGAGAGAGATCTGCTTTGGAATCTTCAGGAGGGGACAATTGGGGGAACGCGACTTCGCCGAGACTGAAAGCCAGTTTTTTTAAGTTCGGTTTTGTGTATATAAAGATGTTTCAGCCTGTCTCACTAACCTTGTATACTTTGGACTTCAGCTCCCGTACAGCTCCGTACAGCTCCGAACAGCTCAATTCAGCTCAGTACCACCCATGTATCCCCTGCCACATATGTATCCCCCGCTGCGGGAGGAGGGCGGCCGTGTTCATGGCCACATGCATAGCGGCCACGTTTTTCACAGATTTTTCCCGTCAAAAATAATTCACAAAAAAAAAGAAAAAAACAATGTGGTTGTAGGGTTTTTCAAACTCTACAACCCCGTTTTTTCTTTAAGGAAACAATGAATTTTATGGAATTGTAAAAAATAAAAAACAGAAAAGGCAGAGACAAAAAAAATGAAAAAATAAAAAAATATGTTTTTTTGGGGGGGGGGATTTTTGGTTGGCAGTTAGTTGTCTTCTTCGATTTTATGTTTTTTTTTTTTTGTGTGTGTAATAACGCTAGGCTACCAGCCGGGCCGCACGGGTCCAGGGTGGCCAGCCCGTGCAATGACCAGGGAGGGTCCAAGCCAAAAAAAAAAAAAAAAAACAAATCCGAAAAATCCGGAAAACAATTATGTTATGCAGAAAAATAAACTGAACAACTTTTGCCTCAGGGTCACATCGAAATTCTTCACCAAATTTAGATTAAAAAATAATAAAACAAAAATAATATTTTTATTTTTTTTTGCCCGGCCGGGCAAGTGACCCCGGGCCACTCTGGTAGCCTAGGTAATAAGGAAAAAAAACAAGGAATGAAAAAAATAAAATAAAAAATAGTACTGTTATTTTGCAAGGACTATTAGTAAAAGGGCCTTTACCCGATATAGGCCTCAGGCCTTGTAAAAATAGAGCAGCAGGGGCCTTGTAAAAGTAAAGCATTGTGAAAAGGTATCTTGCCAGGGCTCAGAAACGTGAAAACAGGTCAAAAGTCAAGTTCTCTATCAACAGGCACATCTAAATCTAAGGCAAAGGGCATTGTCAAAAGACTTACCTGTTCACCAGGAGATGTGTATGTCATGTCTGTTCGAGTAAGGGTGTGTCTGTACGTGTAGGCAGTGTACCTGTTCGTGCAATGGAAAGTGCCTGTTCAAGTAGTAAATGTGTCTGTTCGTTTAGAGTTGTGCCTGTCCGAAAGTGAAGTCAGTAGGCACAGTCCCAGTTCTGGTCTAAGTCAAGGGGTCAGTCCAGATCCAGACTTTCAARTCCAAATCCAGGCCGAATTGCCTCAGCAGCAGTTGAATCTCATTGGGACTGTACTGGGACACATGCAATGCAGGGTCTCGGACAAAGGGAGAGGCTAAATTAAGCCAATGCAGACCCAGCGAGGAGTGGCCAGCACTATAAAAAGAGCTGCCTGCCTCATTCCTCGGCAGATCTCCACTGGCTGCAATGCGTGGAAGTGCTGGTGCACTTGTGCGCTGAGTCAGGAGGAGCAGCGCTGGAGGAGAAGACGCGCTGGAGGGAGGAAGAAGCCTGTACACTGGAAGTGATGCAGCCATAGCTGCCCAGCGAGTTAGCATTAGTAGTAGAGGGTTAGTATGTAGCTATGAGTAGTATCCAGAGTAGATCCTCATGAGTATTGAAGAGTGTGTATGCATCATAGGAGGAAGGGATTGAGGCTGAGAGTGTTCATTCAAGGTTGGCTATGGAAGATACTTACCTGAGTTGGATGTGACCTGCAGAGGTGGCGCTGATGAGTGGTGACCACATTGATGACTTGGAGACTATCTGCAGGGGTAGCACTTATTCACTGGAAGGCATATTGATGAGTTGGCAAGATATTGGTGTTGTGCTGATGAGCGCTGGACTCAGGGGAACTTTGAAACACTTTGTATTCATATTTCTGATAATATAAACTGTGAAACTCGGTCCTCATCTTCTTTATCTTTGTCTATTGTCAGACTACTGTTCATTGTGTGTGGGAGTACGATGCATGGCATGTACACACTTGCGTGAGATGGTCCCCAGGACCCATGCATTAGTATGTGTGTGTTTGTGTGTGTGTGTGTGTGTGTGTGTGTGTATGTGTGTATGTGTGTGTGTGTGTGTGTGTGTGTCCCCCACCAACAAATCAATCAATCAATCAAGGGAAAAAAAAAAAAAAAAGGAAAAAAATAACGAATACTTTTTTTTCAACTTGCACCATGACAAACCCCCCCCCCGTCTTGGGTAGGGCAGGGTTTGCACAACCCCAATGTACTTTCAACCCCCCCCCCCCCCCCCCCCCCCCCCCCCCCCCCCCCCCCCCCCCCCCCCCCCCCCCCCCCCCCCCCCCACTGGGCGCCACGCGGCCGCAAAGTCGCATGGCGGCCTCCGTGGGAGATTCATAGAGTACCACTCGAGCTTGGGATGATAAAACTTGTCACGTCTTCCATGGAATTATACGAATTTTGCTTTTCTACTTAGAAAAGTGAAATCTTGAGAGAATAACAATCTGGATGTGAAGTAGAGTGGAGATCTGTATGTGAGGTAGAGCAACCCAAGAAACGTGTATACCCAAGTCGACTCCGGACCCGAATTGGCATAATGTTATATGATATGCTTCTATCCTATTCTTCCAGCACGATTTCCACTGCAGCACACTACAACAGAATGCTACCGTCCTCATTTTCTCACTGACACTCCATTCTCAAAAATCATTCCATTCAAATCATGCACACATCTACGTAGACTACGTTGAGTTCGCCTTCCTAGCAGTGCACACCTTCACTGTCCTCCGATATTCACACACTCTCATTACATACACATCTGGCCAAAAGTGCCGACACCTCATTCTCAGACCAGAGTGTGCATGCACACAGATGACACCATAACTCGAAGCCATAGCATAGAACAACTTGAGCATGCAGCGAGACGAAAGCAAGGAAATGAGAATGTAAACGGAATCAAATGATAATGTAGACATGTAACTCAAATAGCTCGAAACAGCACCCCAGCAAAAAAGACATCCCAGCTCGTACTACTCCGTAGACCAGGCATCCGGCGCCCCGACACGACGGCCACCGCCATGGCCTCCTGATGGGATTTTCCTCCTCTCCATCCCCATCTCGCCTGCCTCAAAGTTCAAAGGCCAGGCCACCACCTTCTTCCACAAATACGTGCAGCACCGTGGGCTACCGCTATGCAGATGGCGCAAGATTAACAACAACGTAGTACTGCTCCGCCAGCCGGCATGCGATAACGCCGATAAGCACAAAACGGCTTAATTACTCGCACGATGTATGTATTGGGACAAGAATTAATCTAATTGAAAAAAGTATTATATTCTACTTATATGTATTCCGATTTTACAATGCGAGAATTCTCTCAATCGAACAAAAGAGGCGAGTTTTCACAAAAATTACAAGCGATTAAAAAGTTATCTATTTTTTACGTTGACAATCCTACGTTAATGGCAGGTCGGATTCCCGAGTGATGCAAGCAAAATAATGATAATGAATGCGTCGGACAATCAGCAGGGAAGTCATGTGTTGATACATGTGCTGCACCCCTCAACGACTACAGGCCACGCTTGGATGATAATATAGTCTGTACTTCGTAACTTCGTGGCGACACGATGGAGGAAGGCTTCGGTTGAAATGATGTTCGAAGTTTATTTTAATTAGTACAGTTGTGCCGCGTAAGTAGCGACTGCCCCGCTGTCTCCAACATGGGCTCAATTGCGGATACCACTAAATACATCAAAAGACTTAAAACCAAAGGTTTCCTCCAAGGGAATGAGCCACAACCATGTTTTGGATATATGCACTTTCCTCAAAGTGGAACTTCCTTTAGGATTAATGCATGAGGTATTTTCCACTATTTTACGTCACTCTCTAGCGAAAATGTAAGGAGAAGAATTCAAACTTGGACCTAGAGCTCAAGTATTCAAGATTGTGGGAAGGGATCTGGGTAAACGTTTAAGTGCGAAACAAGACAAAAGTCCACTTGGAATCACTGACCAAACTGTAGAAGATCGGGAAAAATCAGTGAGTGGAAAAGACACTCCTAGGCAATTCTGTATAGTAACCCCAAAGACTTACCTAGACGAATTCAACACACTTACTCGAGGGATTGGTCCCCAGGTCATGAAAACGTTCTAGTCAAACTTGCTAGAATAGAGGCTCCCATGTCCCAAGACGAAAAACAGAAACTCTTTTTCTAGTACATAATTAGTCGAGTACAAGATCCAATGTCTCTTCTTGCATAAATGGCAAATAACTTGATACATTTTTGGGAATTTCTGTTATTTCTATGAGGGCAAATTGCAGAAATACCGGTTTGGAGAAGTATTTGTTCTCAGCTCAAATCTGCATCAGCTGAGGGTTGAGAGTCGTCACTTTTGGTCGAAGGCCCAAACAGGGTTAAAAGTCACACCCCAAGTCGTGAAAATGCCCGAATGAAGGCCTGGTGTTGTGAGGTACCCAAGGCAAGGCCAAAACTGGCCTTCAGAAGCCTAACGCAAGACATTTGACCTTGGGAAAGTCGATAGTCAACGTCCACTTGGGAATTCAGGCCCACGAGTCAAAGTCAACCCAATCCCAGCCTTGATTATAGATCAAATACGCATCTCTGGTTGTCTGCAGGTATCCAGAAGGAATCAAGTCCAAGTGGGACATGTTGGAATCTGCAACCTTATGAAATCTAAGCCATTGGCTGATGAACGATCTAGACCATCATAGGAGAGACCAGAGGCTGGTCCACATGCGTCAACACTATAAGGTCGACCCAACCTTCGTGGACGACATTCAGTCTTGTACATGCTGCTTGAGCCCTATGAATCCCCCTCGGCGGCGGACAACCGTGGCCAAGTCCGCGGACGCGGACTAGGCCACGAGCCCGCAGACACATCCGCGCGGACGCGCGGCTTTGAAGCCATGTGGCGGCCGCAGGGGAGCGGACTTTCGAAATTCGGGAGACGTCACGGCTGATGCGACAATGCAGCAGGACTGCCAGAGCACTATGCTGACCCCATCCTTTGTCTACAGCGCCAAGTTGCCAACCTTCTGTTTGGTTATGTTGACATCGATGCAGACTCACTGATTTCGACATTGATGGGAGTAGGCGAGGAGGAGGAAGGAACAGGGCTCTGAGATTGGCTCGATAGAGGAAGGGGAGCTCATCTAGTTGATCTTGTCGACACTGTCCTTTGCTGATCGTCTCCGGAGGAACTGCGCCATCCTCCGTGGCCACTGCTGAGGTGGCTGGAGGATGGGTGCCCTGCTGTAACCTGCTTATTGCCAGAAAACGCTAGGGAGGAACTGATTGCAGACGTGGCGAGTTAGGAGGCAACATCCAAAAAGAAGTGGGCAGCGAGTGTTCTCTGCTCAAGGATGATGGTGCAAACTCTCTCTCTCAACCTCTAAGTCTCTTCTCACACTCTTGTCTTTTTCTTCTTTGTGCATTGAACATTGGGATGCTACATGGACAATGAGTGTGGTTCCACGTACAATTTTGGGAGACATTGATTTTGCGCTATCACAACTTGTATTTCGACACATACAAGCTCCTCATTTGACTGGGTTCAACACATTTTGGTATCGGAGCAATACCCTATTATCCTCCATCCCTCGCTATCTGCTGATGCGTGACACTTTGCGCGGTGGTATCTGCCTCGCGTGCCCGTTTCTGACTCCCCAGGCCAATTTGGTGACAAGCGCATGTTCACTCGCTTGGTTGGCATCTTTTGGAAGGTTTGGACCCTATGAGTCCCCCGTGATGATGACCACTGGGTCACTGTCAGATTGCGGTCAGGATCCCAACCGCCGCCGGCCACAACCCGGGCGGTCGGGAGAGGCTGAGAAAATGTCATATTTAGAAAAAAAAACAATAGTAGACAAAAACAAAAAAGGGGGTCGTAGGGTTTGAAAAAGCCCTACAACCTTTTTCAACGTTTTTTATTTTTTAATAGAAAACGAGAAAGCAAGTATGCTGATCAAAAGTAATACAGAAAATGATTTTTTTTTTTTTTTTTCTGATTGCCAGTGGGATAAACATGGAGCACATGTTTCTTTTATTCTTTGTTTTACAGACAAACGCAGATATAAATGAGAAAAAAGATAATAACAATAAAAAGCCAAAGACTTTTTTTTTTTTTTTTTCGTTTTTGACACACACACCTATTGATTAATTGATTGATTGATTGTAACTGGTTGATTGATTGATTGATTGATTGATACCAAAACGAAGTGCACCAACACGTGTGTTTGTGTATGTGTGTGTGTGCAAAAGGGGGGGGGGAGGGATGGGAGAACCCTCCCGCACCAATCAATAAATCAATCAATCAATCAATCAAGAAAAAAAACAAGAACAGTGGGTTTTTAACCGCGTAACTCTGTGTGTGTGTGTGTGTGTATCTGTGTGTGTGTGTGTGTGTGTGTGTGTGT